AAAAAAAGGCTTTTAAAAAAAAAAAGGAAAGAAAAGGGGGTGTGAGGCAAGAGGACCCCCCCCCCCCCACTTCATTTCCTCACTATGTTATTACTAAAGATGGTGAGAGATTACACGAGTGTATTACTGAACAAGGTGTAAGAGAATTTATTAAACAGCTAAAAGCAAAAGGCAGAAGAGCACATAAGACGATGACGACAACAGACTGACTGAAACAATGCATCCTGCTTATATTTGCTGAATTAGAATGAAATCCTTCCGTGATAGATAGATATTTATTAGACCCATCCACAGATGACGTCCTGTGTGTTGTTGTTGTTGTTGTTGTTGCTGTTGTAGGAGCGTGTGGAACAGGCGAGGGTTTGACACATCCGTCTGCCCCGGCCACCATGTCCTCCGTCTCGCAGCACAGTGTGTTGTGTTCGTGGGAGCACGGCCTCGCCTCGTGGTCGTTGTACAGCTGTGTTCCCACGCTACACAGCTGGCACTGCTCACATCGGCCAAGACACGTGCAATCTTTGACGTAATCACTTCTGTAATATCCTTGCTTGCATGTAATTTCCGTGTCTCGCGTTGCGTTGCACTCGTGAACTATTTCCTCTGTGTCAAAAAATAAGAAAAACATGTGGTTCTGTTTTTTTTTCTCCAAAAGTGGCTTATCTCATTCCCTACAACGTGCACAGATTCCCTCCCTTGATGTAGGCCTACTTATAAACTCCCTTGTTCTTCTTATTCACTCTCCTGCTTGTTGTTCTCTAACACCCAAACTGATCGCCTAATTCTTTATTTAAGATCATAATTTTCACCGTATTTAACAATAAATTATTTTACTTCATGCAATCTTGTTTTCGGAAAATCTAACTTCCTGCAACAACAATGGCGATCACTTAAGTTTTCACTAGTCACTAGCAGGGTTGTTAACAATACTAAAAAAAATTATTGGCAATACCAATACCAATACTGCCTGTAAAATCTATTGGCAATACCAATACCAATACAATTTTAAAACCAGTATTGCAATACCAATATTTATTTATTATTGCCTTACCAATACCAATATTTGGGTCATTCGACGAATAAAACGCAAATACGTAATTCATCGCTCTATATCACTTACATCGATAAACGATAACAACATTTTTGGCTAATTTAGACAATGTATTTTTAACCAAATTTTGTTCAATAGTTAACACTTGCTTCATCAGTTTTCCTCAAATCATTCAAAAGTCTTTGACAACATATTAAATAAGTCGGCATACCTTAATGTCCTTAAGCAACAAGATTTTTAATATGTATACTGTACACATATTGTGAATGAATGAATGGATGGATGGATGAATGAAAAAAATATTTTTTCTTTGTTTGGCCTTATTTTTGTTTGTAGGCCCTAGGCACGGTGCCTAAAGTGCCTAAGCCTTAATCGAGCCTTGGTAAGTCACTGGTCAATGCTCATTGCCAAAGATATCATTAGGAAGGCACTTAGCCGAATTTTTTTTTTTTTTTTTTTATCGTCTTGTCCTGTCTTTCGAGTCAAGCTTCCACACTACTGTTACTACTATTTTCTTTTACTAAACCCTAAAACCGTAGTATGATTATCCCGAGTGCCCCTCAAGTCTGTGCACAACGTTATCCCGAGTGCCCCTCAAGTCTGTGCACAACGACATTGTCATTAACCCGAGCTACGCTTACTGTTTATACTATTCTACCTTCTCCAACTAGGGCTCAATCAATTTTAATCTATTATTTAGGCTCTAATTATTCATAGAAAGGATCAAGAGCTTCTTAATCATGATCAATTGCGTCCCCCGAGCCAGCTACACCGGTACCAATGAGGGTCGCCTACAAGTGACTTTGTTAATCCACACTTTTTCACGTTACCAAACAGGGCCAAAGGTCACACTAAAATCATACAGGATGATCCACAAACCGCAAAGAAAATAGAGAAGTAAAAACAAACAAACAAACCTTCCTTCTGGGGCACGTAACACGTCTGACACGATCTGTTTTTCCTCTCCCTTGCCATCTTGGAGGTGAGAAATGTTCCATTAGGACACACTTGGCAGTTCTTATTCTCACCTGCGTAATATCCAGCATTGCAGGTCTTCTCACTGGTGTCTGCTGATGTTTGCAGCTGTCTTGAGGGTACGTCCACATCACATGAGTCACAGACCGAGACTGCCGCAACACCAGATGAAATGCACATTATAATTACCACCAATGATTCCATAATGCAATACTCCAATGCATGTAAAATATCTCAGGGCTAGACGCTTGTCACTTGTCACTGATGAGTATTCCAACCGGCGATCTTGCCTACCACTTACCAGGCCCTTTCCGACGCTCTCTGGTAGTAGTAGTAGGGTACCGGTAAATTTTTATATTAAAATAACATTTACCTAATTTTAGATAGATTATCAGAAACACCCACTCCCAATCTCAGTTAGTTCGGATATTTGACGCTCTACAAATGTAGTTATTATTATATTTTTTAAAAAAAAAATGTGTATCCTTTTTTTTCTTTAAATGAAAGGTTTCTAAAAAATTAATTAGACACGAATTTAAGAACACCATCTTTTGCGTTCTAAATGAGTTGAATGATATGGAACATGTCCGCTAGTTAACAGTTGATGTCGCGTTCCAAGTTCCAGCACAGTGAATTGAAAAGTAAGCCAACAATTTTTCGGTATCGCATTGCCGATTCTTTCCCCGAAATTGAAAATAAACGGTGAATGTGTTTCGTAAGCATATACAATGCCCAAAGTATATATATATATATATATAGTATATTAAATCTAGCTTTAAACAAATGTAACACCTCAAAAAGCTTGATAAAAACATGTAATAACATGTTTCGCGAAACTAAAATAAAATCAACAACTCGTGCCAGGATGGATAAAAAAAAAAATTTTAATAGAAACATAGCTATTTATAGTAACTGGGATTCTCCTTTACTTTTTCATGAAAAACCCTAAATAGTGAAAAACACCTATTTCCAAGAAAGGAACTTTCGATTTTATTTTCTATGGAAATTGTCGTATCCATTGTGTGTTGTTTGTTGCTTTTTAATTTCCCCGAGAATTAGTTGCGTTTTCCCCGGTGGGATTTACCTTGTTCGGACCGGCCCCTGTTTTTATCCCTTGTTTTTATTTAATTTCGGTGAATTCAAGAAAAGTGAAAAATCTTTAATTTTACATCGGAGTTTTTTTTTAAAATTCCTGTTCAGGTTTTATCATTAAAAAAAAAACAATTTCATAAAATATGTTGAGACTATTTCTTATAACTTAATTTACTTTTAGGCATCTCTTTATGTTTCTTATTTAAATATTAACATCATGAATTATATATTGAATGATCCACTTATTATTATTATTTTTTTAAATTATTTCAAATATGCCTACTTGAACGATCATAATAGAAAGTGAACCGGTGGTTAAATTATTTGAATCCCACAACGCTGCTCTCACCCAGTGCCGTCTTAAGGCATGGGCTCCCGTCTCACTTGTCCAGTGGCCTTACGCCTCCAAGACGGCTTCATGCATCTAGGGGGTCTCGCGGTTATAGGAAGGCTCACGCCTCTAGGAAACCTCACGCCTTGGGGGTTTGGGGGGGGGNGGGGGGGGGGGGGGTTGAGGTGTCATTATTCTGCCAATATTGATAATGAATTTTATTGGGCAATTTAATTTGCTTTCAAAATGCAGCGGGAAGACCGTTTCTCCGGGTTTTTTTTTTTTATTTTTTTTTTTTTAAATTTCCCGTTTTTAACATCAATTCATTTTTTGGTCCTAGATTTAGAGAAATTTTCTTTTTTGATAAATTGTCAATTTGAAAACAAATTTATACTTTTGTTGGGGATTTGGGTGGGGGGGGAGGGGGAGTAGTAAATCAAAGCTTCTCACAAAAGGTGACGTCATAATTTCACTATCAAGTCATCTGTTTGGGTAATTCACGCTGTTTCATTTTCTCTTAGATAGATCCCCATTCCCATACTAAGAAATAAAAAGACGCCTTTTTCCAATCTTCTTTTTTTTTTTTTTTAAATACCATTTTGATACAATTTTTTTTTTAATGACCTGTTTTACAAAGTCATACACAATCTGTAAACATTTTCTACAAAATTGTAACTTTTCCCTTTTTCTTTGAAGCTTTAAATTTTGAAAAACCAACTTAAGTTTTAAATAAACGCAAACTTATAATTATTACACTAATAATAATAATAATAATAATAATAAGTGGTCTTATATAGCGCGGTACCCCGGCCTAGGGCTGGGCTCACCGCGCTGTACATAAATATAGCAAAGAGGCATAATCATAATATTAAAATAAAATACTTAATAATAATAATAATAATAATAATAAGTGGTCTTATATAGCGCGGTACCCCGGCCTAGGGCTGGGCTCACCGCGCTGTACATAAATATAGCAAAGAGGCATAATCATAATATTAAAATAAAATACATAAATGAAATAAAAACAACATATAAGCAAAACAACACCATAGGTCTATTCATCCACCCACACCAGACATTTTTACAAGGAAACCCATGTACGTTTATCGGTTTATAGGAGGGGAATCAGTCAGAGTAGTATAGTTTAAATAGATGTGTTTTGAGTGCAGTTTTGAAGGCCTGTGTGGTTGTTATATTGCAGATGTGTAGTGGCAAAGAATAACCTAATAGTAATAGTTTGTTTGTTGTTCTTTTGATTTTTTTATAACGAACGAATGTTTTGATAGTTTTATAGCATTTTTTTTCTCCCTCATTGATGAAGTAGTTAATGAACAAATAAATCATTCCAAAATAAAATTATGAAACAACATTACTATGTAGATACAACTGAAAAGGAATTGTGCAAACCCATGCACGGTCAAGGGAACCTAAATTTAAACTAGCAGGTTTTTTTGTTTTTTTTCCTGTTGCAAGCCTATTAAGTTATTAAGTTTAGAATGATGCACAACTAAATTCAAGTATGCGCCAAAATGCATCTCATCATTTTGAATTTATCAAATATATTCCGGGTAAGGGCTTACTAAGACATCTCCCCAAACCTTACGAACAGTATTTTTCGGTGCCCTCGATCTCTTCTCCCTCCACAATTAAAGTGACAATACCGACACATTTTAATCAACAACAAAAAAGGACTAAATGTAAGAAATTACAAAGATTTTTTTTAATATTTTAAAAAAAATTTTTTTTTTTTTTTTTTAAAGTACAAAATTATGATTTTCATTTAGGACTGTATACCTGAAAATCCAAGCATGGGAAAGAAAAGCATTCGTTAGGTCTGAGTGGAAGGAAGTAGTGAGGCAGGCTACATGGGCTGTATCGCCACAGGGATGGACAGATACCTAGTTGGACTATACAGATTCCAGAGACGAAGCTAAGCTGGGGCTCAAAGCCACCTCTCAGGGAGCTCCACTACCAGAATGGTACAGTATGGTGGTGGTGACAAAGTCAGAGCTGACCATTGGCGTCAAAACGTCGCGCACCCCTTTGACATGACGCCTGAAATGCTACCCTTAATCCCCCGTGGATAAAATGACCTGAAAGAAACTGGCCGGAACGCGTGGGCCAAGCTGGGCCATAATGGTTTTCATAACATTACTTGAATAGAATGACCCAGACAGAGCCCTGCCGTGGGAAAAACGGCGCCAGGACGGACGTGGCAGGCGATTTTCGTCACCCCTGTCTATGTGAGGTACATGAGATTTTATCGTTTAATTCACTATTGAGGCCTAGCTTAAGACGATCTTGTTGCCTCAACCCCTGATTTTGGCACCAGGGGTGATTGGCCCTCTCGCCCTCCTTCGCACAGCCCTGAACATATCAGAGGGTTAGGGAGACCTCAGTGCATTTCTCTGCCCATGGCCCACGCTGCTGTACAGACGGCCCTGCTCTGACTCCGCCATATATTTAGTGTTGTATTTTAAACTGAGGTTAACCGGGTGAATTTTTTTTTTATCCCAGGTCCCAGTATTCTGAGAAAATACCCGGTTTGAAAAGTAGAGTTATCTTCACATTTTCCATGGGCGCCCGCAGGGGGAGGGGGTACAAGTTTTTTAGACAAAAATAGACAAAAAATTTATTAAAGTTAATAGAACTAAGCTGATGTCCTGTCCGTTCGTTCACCATACAAATACGCTACAGTAAATAAAACTATATTAAAACATTACTAAAAAAAATCCCCCCCCCCGGAAAGTTAATCGATTTTTTTGCCCCCCCCACCAGAAAGTTTTCTGCGGGCGCCCATGTCATTTTCTACTACTTATGAGTTCATACGTCACGCTGGATAGCCTTTCTGGCTCACTCAGTACTATTAATATAAATCATGTGGTTTTGGGGGATGGCCCGGTTTCGGAGAGGAAGCAGACACACCGGAGGCAATCAATATATATAAAGAAATATTCTTTTGTGAAAGAGAAAAGGGAGGGACGGGATATCTATCGCCATACTCGGATACTACTACTAACTCACGGGCTTTTAAATAAAAAAAAAAGAAAAGAAAGAAAGAAAGAAAAGAAACCAAGATAACAACGGCGGGAGAAAATCCAGACACACTTTATCTAAATTAGAGGTTCCCAACCTCTTTTTTTTTTTAAATTTATTTTATTTTGAGTCACCACCCCCTTTTCTTTAGAAATGAACTAACCCGCGATTTCTCCGTAAAATTACGGAGAGTCTGTAAAACCCATAACCTAAAAATAGCTTTTCGGAGGAAGTGACTCAGTCTATCTGATTACGTTTGCCGGCTTTGAACGTGCATAATCATAATTGGGAGAAATTGAATAATGAAGAGCATTTTAAAACTATACGATAAAATTGGACTATTAAATAAACCTATGTGTCATATTCATACAAATATAATATATTCTTAAAAACAATGTCGTTAGTTCCTACGGTTGTTGACTTCAACGTGTAGCTATAGCTTTCCACCACCTCCCCCCCCCCTTTTTTTATTTTTTATATTGACGTCATGAATGTATAGTGCCAGCCCTTTTCCCCACCTCTCCCTTGATTGGGAAAAGGTTGTTTACATTTGATTACCGTTTTATGTGTTCTAAAGAATGCTATCGGGTGACGCAATTTCTTGATTTTATTTTCTAAAGGGTTCTGATTAACTCCATAATTTTATATAGATAAGCCAGCAGCTTTTCTAGCCGAAAGAGATTTTTTTAAACACAATTTTCCCCTAGAAAAAGACGTGACGTAATAAACTTACAAGAGTGCACTCTTTATGTGTGTATGTGTAATTTATTAGCCTATATGTTTTTACTTTCCACTCGCTGTGCTATAAGTTGATATAGTTTTTATCTCTGTCTATTTGATTGTGTATTTTTATATAAATTAAAGAGTGTAATTAGATTGAATATTTTTATTATCACTAGCTCTTGTATCGTTTTTCTTTGCATACTTTTTATTTGTCCTTTGCTACGTATTGCTCATTTAATGAGCCAAAGTTTAAACAGATTTTATTTACAAGAACCATGTAAGGGGCCGTCCATTAATTAAGTCAACAATTTTAAAGCAAATCCACCCCCCCCCCAAACAATCCACCCNCCCCCCCCCCCACACACACTTTTTAAAGCAATTATGTCTACATTTTTTTTTACCCCACTTCCCCACCAAAAAAAAAGTTAATTAAAATATAATTTTAGCAAGGCTGACAATTCTAGCAAACAGAATCTACAAGCGAAGAAAGGCCAACTTTTGACTTCTCTGGCACTAACAAAGTGTGCTAACATTCTGACCAACCATCAGCTGTGCACAGACAGACACACATTAATTAATCTTATATTGTTAAAAGCCTAAAAATTGTTTAACTAAATTAAAATTTGTTAAATAATGTAAGAACCAGTCATTTTTTAAGATTAAAATGTTAATAGAGAAAACAATGATTGTTGACGTCGACTAATCTAAACCCCGCCCCCTCCCCTTTGTCAACAACTGTCAAACATTTCCAAACCCCCTCCCCCCTCTCCTATTTTGTTGACATAATTAATGGACGACCCCTAACGGTAAATAACAGAATATTTGCAAATTTTTTTTTAGCTTGAAACGGGTATTTAAAAAATAAGTCCAAAATTATTTAAAAAATGTGTGTCACTTCTTAAAAATTGAGGAGGTTAAGAATATTTCTGTGGNGGGGGGGGGGGGGGAGTTATGTGTTTGAGTGGGTAGCCCTGTGCCAGCCACCCTGCTACACTTTGGAAAAGGGGGGGGGGGTCTATTTAATATGATAAAATTAACCACATCGGAAATACGTTGTAGTATGATTCATTATATTTGTATCCGATTATTAACATAGAACTCGTGTCGGAGCTTCATGCTTCCAGGTCTGCTTTCATGCTAATCTCTTAACTTTTAGTATTGTCCTAATCTATTAGTCATAAAACATATTATAAAAAGCCTTGAAAAATCTCCCTCTCACGGAGATGATGCTGCTATGAACGCTGGTGGGAACAGAATTAACATCAATCAAACTTTAAGAGTGACTACACATTTGTAAAAAAAAAAATTGCTTGAAAAGCTTTTACAATTATTTTACTTTTCATTTCCCTCTATCAGTCAGCAACACAATCGAAGTCCTTCCGTGATCCAGTTCAGGGATCTAAATTAAATGATTAAAGTATTTCGGATGTCTGTGAGGGTGGGGGTGGAGAGGGGGGGGGGCTATTTAGGATATTTATAACTGATAAGACCTTTTTTTTTATGAATCTCAAACAAGTAAAAAAAAATTGTAATGACAACTTGTTAGCAAAAGGTCAACCTTTCATTAATCGAAGATAACATTTCAGTTTCGAATTCTGAAATTTAGAAGACAATAACGAAATAACGAACACTCAGAAGAGACAGAACATTTCAACCAGGAAATAATTGATAATTGTACAAGTGTCCTCATTTATTTACGAAGTGGCTATTCGCACCCGGGTACCATTTAGAATGGGTACTTTAAGGTTATGTTTGGGCTAAAAAAATCATTGTAGTTTAGTGGCGCGAAAATGTGTAGGGCGTATCATTTATATAGTATATAAATACTTCTCAAACTTTTAATGTTGTAAGAAACGTAAAGATCATTACATAGATAATTATTTTTTTTTAAATACAGAATTGCGATGAGTTTTTGCGATAGCAAGTGGAAATTATAGTTAAGTGCCTTCGGCATTGCAGCCTGGTCCCGGAGACACTAGTGCACTTGTTGACTGAATGTCCCTCACTAGATGTCCCAGGGGAAACAAGGGCGCTTGGAGAGCCCTTTGTGAGGAAAATGGTGTATGGCTCAGCTCAGTAGATGGGGTTGGTAGTCAGTTTACTAGCCGGGGTCATAAGAGAGTAATCTCAGACCTTCACAAGAATATGTGTGTTAGTTAGCTAAGTGTCTGCCATTATTATCTCGATAACATCGGGTGAGATTTACTAGTATATATATACTAGCCCTTGTAGCATATCAAGAAATTGATCGAAAATGTAAGCTGAATGACTTTTATAATTTGTTTCGGTGAGATGATTTAGTATTTGAATAATTAATTGTCGTCATTTAAGGATTTTGATTGTAATTGTGGTGTCTCTTAAAGCCATGTGTCCCAAAAGCTCTTAAAATTTTTTACAAGAGGTTAATCATTTTATTTTTCAAATTATTTTTTTTTTACCCATAATTTGTGGTTCCGTTGCATTCAAATTTACGTTTTTTTATTCTTCTAATTTTTAAATATTGAATTCAGGAGTGGGATGACCCAAAAACAAATTTTACGCTATAATAATGCTGTTGTCACATTAATCAAGTTTTAGAACCGTTTGCCTTATTTGGCCCTAAATTAACATTCAATTCTTTAATGCAATTGACCAGTTGGTTAAACGCGCTTAAGTTCAGCAACTGGTGTATCGATAACGGTGCTACTGTTCGAGCTCTTAAAACTATTTTTCAGGCCATGGACTCCCCTGCCAGTCAGACGAAGACCACTGAACCCTTTCTTATAATAAATCTGTTTTTTTTTTAATCCACTAAAATACAACTGCAAAGGAAATGCTACTCATGAACGCTCAGACATCTTTTCCATAGGACAACCACCAAGGCTACACACTTCCGGATCCGGCCCGCGACTTCAGCTCATCCGGCCCGCCGACTTCAGCTCATCCGGCCCGCCGACTTCAGCTCATCCGGCCCGCCGACTTCAGCTCATCCGGCCCGCCGACGGTACTTGAATTTGCTCGATACACCCCAAGGCTACACTTTAAGAAACCCTGATCTAAAAGGATATCCCCTCTCTGACACAAATAACCATTAAGCTCAATCACATCTGAACTCACCACTGGTCATAGACCCAGGGCGTGCCAAGGAAGGACATAGGGCACCCATGACATGGACTTGATCAAATATTTAGGTGGAGATTGCAAATCGAGGTACCCATTCACAACGGCTCATTTTGTGTGTGCTAATAAATAAATAAATATTTATTTCGGGAAAGGGATCTTGGCTAAATTTCAACACTTTTTCCCCTCAAAGCTTGACCCCTCTGCACAGAGATAGTTCATTCGACATATTTTAGACATTACAATTTTACACTCATTACCTTTTCTGTTGAGAATCGGTAACAGTTAGGTTTTTTTTCAGCAGTGATTGTGCAGCATTTTATATTATTTAATGCACATTACCATGCTTATAATGGAAAAAAAAATTTTTTAGCATAAGAATTATTTCGCGTCCCGCTTCCCACCCTCGCTACGCCTCTGCTAAATTGAATGTAGTTATCAATAATTAAGGTTTGCCATCACAAAGCCTTGAGCACATATTATATATATGTGTTTTGTTGTTGTTGTTTTTTTGTTGTTTTTTTTTTTGCTTTGTTTTTTTTTTTTTTTTTTTTTTTTTTTTTTGTTTTTTTNGACACGGTAAGGTATGGGAAGACACGGTAAGGTATGGGAAGACACGGTAAGGTATGGGAAGACACGGTAAGGTATGGGAAGACACGGTAAGGTATGGGAAGACACGGTAAGGTATGGGAAGACACGGTAAGGTATGGGAAGACACGGTAAGGTATGGGAAGACACGGTAAGGTATGGGAAGACACGGTAAGGTATGGGAAGACACGGTAAGGTATGGGAAGACACGGTAAGGTATGGGAAGACACGGTAAGGTATGGGAAGACACGGTAAGGTATGGGAAGACACGGTAAGGTATGGGAAGACACGGTAAGGTATGGGAAGACACGGTTAATGCATGGGAAGACACGGCAGTGCACAGGAAGACATGGCAGTGCACAGGAAGACACGGTAGTGCACAGGAAGACACGGTAGTGCACATGAAGACACGTTAGTGCACAGGAAGACACGGTAGTGCACAGGAAGACACGGTAGTGCACAGGAAGACACGGTAGTGCACAGGAAGACACGGTAGTGCACAGGAAGACACGGTAGTGCACAGGAAGACACGGTAGTGCACAGGAAGACGCGGTAAACTGAGCTCAGCACTCCCCACCCTTCAATAGTGTGATACGTTTATTTAAACATTATACGCCATTATTTTTTTGTTGAAGCATTCCTAATCTTTTGGAGTTTTTATTAAAAAAAAATTAATTTCCACTTTTTTGTCTGGCCTCTTTCTGAGGTACTTTGGGGAAGCAAATCGTCAAAATCAAGACTAGTTTGTTAAGGGGACAAAGGGTGATTACTCACTCGATTTTTTTTGTTTTTTTGTTTTTTGTTTTTTTTTTTCCCCTTTAAACCCAAGCAGCAAAAGGGACCTATGGGACAGCACACCGGCATGACGTCTTACCTCTTGATGGTGGCTCTGCTACTAGTCGCACCCACTAGGATTAATGCATGGGTGATTATTGTTTTCATCAAAATCGACTCTTAAATTATTCAAGCAATCACACTGGTAATCTAAGCTTTTGATCTTTCAACTTAAGAAAGGAATTATTTTATTTCAAAGTCTATTTTAAAAATTCACAAACACTAAAAAAAAAAAAAAAAAAAAAAAAAAAAAAAAAAAAAAAAAAAAAAAAACAATTAAAAAAAAAAAAAAAAAAAAAAAAAAAAAAAAAAAAAAAAAAAAAAAAGTGTAATGCTTAAAAAACAATTCCTTTAATAGGTAGGTAAAATAGAGTGTCGATTATCCGAAACGCCAATTATCCAAACAGACATATTTCGTTTTTACGATTGTATTGCGCAAGTAATGGCTTACCGAAGCGTACAAACACCGGCTAGTGATTCCGAACTCTGTCACAATCCAGGTTAAACTCTGAGATAATTAATTATGCACTGTGAATGCAGTAATCAGCCTGGAACAATGCGATCTTCAAACGACTTTAATTTGATATAAATCAAAGCATACAAAGCCTTATAGGACGCGGACACCTCGGATTTTATCATAAGCAACAGTCATCTATTTTTGGAAACGACCTCTTTATCCCGAAAAAAACCCTTCATTCCTCATCGGTTTTTGACGTGCCTCAGCTGACCGTGATGAAATGTTGACAATATCTGTGCACGGTACGCAGTGCAATAAAACGCCATGCGGGAATAAGGCAAGACTAGATTACTTTTGAATACACTTAAATACAAACTTTCCGTGAGAGATTTCGGTCCCAGTAAGTTCGGATAATCAACGCTCGGCTGTTTGAGTTATTAATATTGTGTGTATGTGTGGGTTCAACTTTTTTCAATACACATTTCCCATTTTCTTTCAAAGTAAGTGTGTGAGATTATTTTCAGGATTCTCGTAGCGATGACTATGATGACTACGAAGACGAGGAACACAACGAGACTGAGTGTGAAGGCTGTGTCCAAAACACTCTGTGTCGGCTTGGGAGGTGCGTGTGTCATGACACACACATAGGGGATCCTTACTTCATGTGTCACAAACCGCAGAAAGGATATTGTCAGTGAGTTCCCCGGTGCTATCTAGTTGACCACGTCATTGATCATTGTGTTGGTAATTATTGTTATAGGCTTTCTTTCTACTTGCATTTCCCATCGTGTGGATGTGTGGCGTTATTGTATTGTTGACACACGTGACCATTTCGCTCAGTTGAACATTTTTTTGTGAAGTACCCTCCCAGCAACCCCTCTGAAAGGTGTCGAGTTGTGACGACATCACGTCATCTCCTTGCTCGACGCAGGCCGGTTGACACTGTCACTCAAAAAAAAAGAAAGAAAGAAAGAAAGAAAGAAAGAAAGAAAGAAAGAAAGAAAGAAAGAAAGAAAGAAAGAAAGAAAGAAAGAAAGAAAGAAAGAAAGAAAGAAAAAAAGAAAGAAGAAAAAATAGAACATAATTTACAAGTTCTTAAGGTGCATTGAGCAAAGTAAGTCTGTGCAGAAAATATTTTTAATTTTTTGTTTATATTAAAATATATTAAAGTTTCGTCTCCACACAGAGAGTGCTAATTTCCACTTCTGCACAGTTTTTTTTTTTACTTCTTATTTTAATATCTTAAGTTGTAAAGTATTTGCACGTGGATATTTAAATTTTGTCTCTGGTTTTAAAGAATGTGTACGTTCAAAACACAAGTTTGTAGGAAGGGTGGCTCTAGGCTTACGTCAATATGACGTCTTTACTCCCTACTCTAAATGACGTACACTTTCAGTTTGATGAATGACCCAGTCCTCCGGACGTTCGCCAAGGAAAAATCTCACGTGGACGTCATCGGTCCAACAAAGTTGGTCCAGCTTGTCGTGCGGCATCCGAAATGGGACTCGTCCATCGACTTTACGCTCTGGGCGATAACTGATAGAATCAAGGGAAAGTACTTCGTCAAATCTTTTCAGGTAGTTATCACCCTTCCTTCACCAAAAGAAACATGAATTGATTTTGACAAAATATTTCACCAGCAAAAGCTTTTCTCATAGTGTTAATTACATTTTAAAATTAATCAAGTTCAGCTAAATAATAAAACAGAATTTTTGCAAAAGCAATGTCATGTTATGTCAGGCAAGCTGTTTATTACACTCAGGTGTCATTAAATGCACACATCCTCCTAGCCATCAACCCACTCAACAATCCCTTCTTTCACCCATCCCATGTCCATCCACACATATACCCTTACTTCCATCCTTCTATCCATCCATCTATCAATGCATCAATCCATCCGTCCATCGTCCATCAATCAACTCATTAATCCGTCCATCCATTCATCCATCCATCCATCTATCAATGCATCCATCCATCCATTTATCCATCCATCCATCCATCCATCCAACCATTATGCATACATCCATCCATCCATCTATCAATGCATCCAGCCAACCACTATGCATACATCCACCCATCCATCTATCAATGCATCCATCCATCCATTTATCCATTCATCCATCCATCCATCCATCCATCCATCCAACCATTATGCATACATCCACCCATCCATCTATCAATGCATCCATCCATCCATTTATCCATCCATCCATCCATCCAACCATTATGCATACATCCACTCATCCATCTATCAATGCATCCATCCATCCAGTTATCCATCCATCCTACCATTATGCATACATCCATCCATTAACCCGTCCATACATCCACACATACACCCCTACATCCGTCTGTACATTTATCCCTCCATCCATCAATGCATCGATCTATTCATCCTTTCATCCATCCATTAGTCAATCCACCGTTTCATTCATTAATCCATCCATCCATCCAATTCATCCATCCATTCATCGATTTCTTCATGCAACCATTCATCTATCCATTAATCAATCAATATATAAATTCATCAATCCATCCATCCATCCATTCCTCCTTTTACCCATCCATTCATCCATCTATCCAACAATCAACTCATCCATCCATCAAGACATCGGTTCATCCATCCATCCATCTCTCCTCCTGCCTTGCTAATCAATTCTGTTTATTTTGATTCTGTTTTAAAAATCAAACTATTCGTATTGACTTCCTTCGAATCACTTGAAACTATTTTGTTTACCCCTCACACTAAACAAAAAGTTTAGGTACGTACGTAGCCCACAATACCGACGACCTAAGGAGTTTCAAGTGTTAGTCGAGTCTAAGGTTAACCCTGGTATGTTGTGCCTTTGAGTTTGAAGAGAAATGATCACTCTGTAAACGTACAATACATACTTTCATGTTTAATATGATATTACCATTATGAAAGCAAAAAAAAAATATTTTTCAATTTAAAAAAAAAAAATAATAATTTTCTGAATGAAATTAAATGAGACGCCATTAATACATATAATGAATATATATAACATAAAACATGGGTGGCTATACTGACATTTGTATTGTCTCCACATTTCAGCGACAGGAGTCTATCGGTGGGAAATCTTTTTGAAAGATTTCGGAAAACAGGGATCTTTTCGACATGCGCACTCCTTCTGTTCCACGACACGTAAACAGGTTAGGATGCTCCACCATAACTAGAGGGCTACTGAATGGCTAAGCGCTGGACAGGCGGAGAGATGTAATGAAATGGATCTATTTTCAGATGGATTTTGTATGCATGGGATGAAGGCCTGGGGAGGGAGGGGTAGGAGGAGGGGGGGGTGAAACGGAAGTATATTACCAAAGACAAACTTAGATTGTGTCTGTGGTGGAGAAATGCGTCATTGAATCATCGCTGACATCAGATTTTGTTTAATCGCCCGTCCATCAGAACACAGCGGTTATTGACATAACAAGATAAAACCAACTCTAACGGAATCCTTTATTGCCAAAATTTACCAAATATTCGTAAGTACAGAGTTTTTTTGTTCTTCCTTTAAATAATAGTAGCCGGAGTCAAGCTGTACTATCCGCCCGATTAGACCAAGTGGTTCGAGTACCGTCTAATATATTAGATTATATATATATTCGTTTGCGCAACGAAACTACCAGAACCCGAAAAAAAAATATACTTAGCCATAATAATATTTCTTTTTAAAACGCTTACCAGCTTTTTAATGTTAAGTATGCAGTTGCCAGATGGTCTGTGCTAAATTTATCAATTGGGGTTGCATTTAACTTTTTGACCATGGTCACTTTTGTTTTTTTGGTGAAATCCATTTTATAAATATTTTTTTTTAAAGATTCAATGGTTTCTAAAACGACTGATAAAGACAAAATAAGTGGGGGTGGTAGGGGGTCGGTTGAAGAGGAAGAAAGAGAAACACAACACAAACAAAACGTATTGGGTTACAAGAAGAAATAAAATATAAAAAAAAACAACAGAAACTAGACTGAGAACCCCCAGTCTTTTTCATGATTTATTGCAAGTGTATACAAAGTTTATAGAACATAACGTTGTCTTTCAATGGTTGTTGTTGTTTTTTTAATCGCCCCCAACTTCAGCACGACGCCTGGTCCGTGCAGCTGCCCGGATGTACCATTGCGTTCCGGCGAATCCACGCCAACTTTCTGAAAACCAAAGTCAAGTGCAGTGGTGTGGCCATCGGCCTGAGGCCGCACAATCCTGAAAACAGGGAAGTCAAAGCAGGTGAGCAGGCTCTTCCTCTACGCTACGCAGGCCGCGAATGGATCCATCCAAATATTTATTTATTAATTTTTTTGTTGTGCAATATTTCTAAAAAAAAAAAAAAATTCAAAGTCGTACAATTTCCTGAATCAACTTTTTATCCGTAGTTGAAAACATTTTCGTTGCTCACCTCCAACTGGGAAGTTTTAGCATCATTTTCACAAATTCCTGCATCTTTACTATCCACAATTTTTTTTTCTAGCTTACGATCTATGTTCTTTAAAGGACTGCTTGTTATGCACAATTTTTACAGCTGAACATGAATTAAGGCAGTTGGAAAGAAAAGATCACATTTAATGATGACGCCATTGAATACATTTATTTAAGCTGGTTATCTACGTTTAAAATTCTAATTGACAAAATGGGATGCTGCTGGGTCAGTTTTTTGTATGACGTCATCCGAGGCTTGATAAGCAGATAGGGGACACATATGTTAATTATCCTGGATATATTTTTACATCCGGGTCGCTGAAATAAAGAATTTTATCATTTTTCTCTCGTTCAAACTTGATAGTGAGCTCCGTAATTTATGGGAAGTTGCACACAGTAGTACAATCTTATGCATTACTTTAACCACAAGTAGTCCATTGTTCCTCCAATACATTATCATTTGTGACTATCAGCTCCATTATTGGGAGATAATATAATATATAGATATATATATATATTATAATAATTCCCGCGTTGATCTTGGCCACCTAAAAGGGAGTTAAGGATTAAAACTTTTGTTACAGTGGTTAAATTATATTATACCCCTTGCAATTTAGCATCAATCTTACTTTAAAATTTTTTTTATTATGAATAGCTAAAGAGCAGGAACATTAACTTGCGGTTGGTCGACATTTCGTATTTCGAGTGTTTACGTTACTCTAGACCCTGACTGGTATTGATGGACTCACGGTATTGATTTCCTACCTGTTTGTTGGAAAAGATTTAGATAGGACGGGATGACGTCATTATTTCCTACCTTTTTGTTGGAAAAGATTTAGATAGGACGGGATGACGTCATTGATTTCCTACCTTTTTGTTGGAAAAGATTTAGATAGGATGGGATGACGTCATTGATTTCCTACCTTTTTGTTGGAAAAGATTTAGATAGGACGGGATGACGTCATTGATTTCCTACCGTTTGTTGGAAAAGATTTAGATAGGACGGGATGACGTCATTGATTTCCTACCTTTTTGTTGGAAAAGATTTAGATAGGACGGGATGACGTCATTGATTTCCTACCTTTTTGTTGGAAAAGATTTAGATAGGACGGGATGACGTCATTGATTTCCTAGATGCTTATTAATTTCTTACGCTCATCGACAACTTAAATGCCGTCAAAAATTTAACCAGTGCACGCCACTGCAGCCTCATTATGGTGCCACTGCAATTTAAGATGTTTTTATCCCCTTAAGATTTGTTATAGAGGCTCGTCAAATTATTCAAAGCATCCCTTGACTTCCAAATTTAATAGCAACAGAAGTTATTTATTTATTTATTTTTTTTTTAACTTTTTTTTTTTAAAGGTGCAACATAATGGTACACTATAGCCTATGTATTGACCTAGTTTTAGCTGACGCAGTGCTGAGGCACCCACCACTCCCCACCCCCTTTTTTGTATTGACGTCACCGATTAAATTTGTAGCGCCAATCCCTTTTACCCACTCCTCCCTTGATTGGGAAAAGGACGTTTACTTTTCATTGCGTTCTAATTTGCTTTAAAGAATGCTATCAAATTTCTAAAAGTTCTTATTTTGGGGTGGGGGGGGGGGTCTTCCAACTTTCTCCCTATTAATAAGGCAGCTGCTTTCTCAGCCGATATGGATTTTCCTGGATATTTACGGATATTTACGAGACGTAATAAAGATTGTCTTGCTATTTATTGGNACACACACACACACACACACACACACACACACACACACACACACACACACACACACACACACACACACACACACACACACACACACACACACACACACACACACACACACACACACACACACACACACACACACACACACACACACACACACACACACACACACACACACACACACACACATGTACACAAATACCACCACACACACACACACACACACACACACACACACACACATGCACACACACACACACACACACACACACACAAGTACTTAATGGATACAATAAGGGCCATGAGAAATAGAGGCGACACTGGCACTGGCCCCGTGTACCATCATCAGGAAGGCGCCCAAAATCATTTTAGCGATAAGACCTTTACGATGAATTACACGACAAAATCCAAATAAAGCTTTAAAAAAAAACAACAACATGAGGAATCGCCATTGTAATCATTCACCCGGGAGACATTTGTGTCTATATAAACTGATGGGCGACATTGTCTGGATTTGTTTCGGGCTCAGCTCTTGATACAATGTTAAACTGTGTGGGTTTTTTTTAAATAGAACAATACATGGGTTTCATATAGAAAAAAAAACGTGTGTTTAAATACAACATTGCATGTTGCATATAGAACAATTCATGTGTTTCGTTTTTGTATTTCTAGGTATATGGGTGACCGTAGACAGACTTTTCCAACCCCAGTTCACCAACTGGCCCCACCACAAGGAGCCCCTCTGCTTGAGTTTTGACCAGCGGCTCAGCACCCTCCAGGCGTCGACCCGCATCGCCAACCTCGAGGACGCCCTGACCTTCCACTCCCTCGTCAACAGCGGGCCGATCCACTACCCGCACAAGCCCGCCGACCTGACGGAGCTGAAGAAAGTCCTGAGGGATTGCCCCGGGGTCGCCCGCAACGCCTTCTCCTCATTGGCTGGGTTTATGACACGCGTGCCTAAATTTAGCAAATGCGTCTCCGAGAACGACGGAATCCTAAGCCTCGTCAACGTGCTGCTGGAAAGTGCCAGATTTTTCTGCAACGACGACGTGAAGGCGTGCAAGCACGTTCATGCCAAGCTGAAGCAAAGATGCTGGCATTTGAAGGATGTTATCCCAGCATTGAAAACATTTGTGGAGTTTGGTTGTCGCTGGTGATCTCCGCGGCTTGGTGTAAACAGAACATAAGGTCGGCTCTGGCAATAAAATTTGAAAGATATAATAATACAATTTGAGAGTGAGTTTTTATTTGCATTAGATCGTTTTAGTATGTAAAAGTATTTTGTAATCATGCAATGTAACCGACGCGAAAGGTTAGATAAGAATAACGTTATTTTATTCTAATTTGCGTTGATGGGCCGAGAGCTCTTCTAGACAACATTTTATTTAGGAGACCTTAGCACAGTGGCTCTTAACCTTGTTGGAGGTACTGAACCCCACCAGTTTCATATGCGCATTCACCGAACTCTCTTAATAGGAAAAAAAATATATGATTTTTTTCTGATTTTTTTGTTCGACCTCCACCAAAACCCCTGAGACTGACTCACCGAACCCCTGGGGTTCGATCGAACCCCAGGTTAAGAACCACAGATTTAGCCATTTCTGTGCACAAAAAGACGCATTTTCAGTCAGGGACAGTTCATGGACTCTTCAAAATTTAAAGTGGTAATAGAAGTGAACCATTTCATAACTTTCGAACCACACACATTTCTATCATGTGATCGATGCGTCAAGAATTTTTTCTACGCCAACCTTTACTTTCTTATCGACTGTGATGTTGTCTTACACTAACTCCATTTACGGCCAGATCTTCTTCAAACACTCTTTAAGTCCATATTTTAATTGTCAAAGCTTTCTTTACGGCCAGATCTTCTTCAAACACTCTTTAAGTCCATATTGTAATTGTCAAAGCTTTCTTTACGGCCAGATCTTCTTCAAACACTCTTTAAGTCCATATTGTAATTGTCAAAGCTTTCTTTACGGCCAGATCTTCTTCAAACACTCTTTAAGTCCATATTTTAATTGTCAAAGCTTTCTTTACGGCCAGATCTTCTTCAAACACTCTTTAAGTCCATATTTTAATTGTCAAAGTTTTCTTTACGGCCAGATTTTCTTCAAACACTCTTTAAGTCCATATTTTAATTGTCAAAGCTTTCTTTACGGCCACATCTTGTCCAAACTTTCTTTACGGCCATATCTTGTCCAAGCTTTCCTTTCGCCCATACATTGTCCCACCCAAATTTTCTAAAAGTCTTTTTCTTATCATATCCTAAATTTCTTAACGTCCATACGTTGTCCTATCCACACCATTCATCTTTACGCGGACCCATCAAGCAACTCTACCTCATGTCCATACGTTGTCCTATCCACACCATTCACCTTTACACTGACCCATCAAGCAACTCTACCTCATGTCCATACGTTGTCCTATCCACACCATTCATCTTTACGCTGACCCAAGCAACTCTACTTGAATAGGCGAGATCTATACACAAGCCATCAACGACAAGATTTTATATTCTTGTTTTCGTGTGATCAACACTAAGGGTGGGGGACACAGCCGGGGCCAGGTTGTGATGACGTGAATATAATCAATTGTTGGCAACACACAAAGCCAAGAAAGATGCAGCACGGCCTAAGAAGTATTTTTTTTTTAAAATCTTATTACCAATTATTTTTTACAGTAATCTTAGCGAAATTCAACTAATTTTTTTTTTTTTTGTTTTTTTTTTTTTTTTTTTTTTTTTTTTTTTTTTTTTTTTTTTTTTATTTTTTTTTTTTTTTTTTTTTTTTTTTTTTTTTTTTTTTTTTTTTTTTTTTTTAAATGTTTTTTTGTTTAACCACTGATCGCCGATGTCAACTACTTTTTAAAAATTAAATTTAAGACACTGTAAGCCACCATGAAAAAGTCATGGATGTGTATTTCCATTGAGAGTAATGGCGTCTTGAATGATTTTACTTTGTTTTTCATATTAAATCATGTATTAATATAATTTTTAAATTATTTTTTTTTTTTACCTCAGACAGATTTATTGTAGTTTTTTTATTTGAACGTTCCACATTCTTATAATATAATCTAGTTTTGTGCAGGAGCGTCGATTCCCCTACCACCTAATAAGGTGGTGAATAGGGGAGGGGGGAGAGGGGAATCATGGAAGGGGTGGGGGGAGGAATGTCTGATTGAGGAGATGGCCGGGGAGGATTGTAGAGGTGCACCAATCATTAGCGTGATTGGGTTTGGAAATCGTGGATGGGGTGGGTTATGAGTATAGAATGGCTTTTAACTATAAATAGGATTGATGACAGTTAATCTTGCTACTCAACTGTGGCTGCTTGCCTTTTTTGTTCAAACCTTAGGGCGCTGCTTGGAATCCGCCATTCCCCCTCCCCCGCCCCTTTTTCCCAACCCCATTCTTCGACGGCGGACTACTAGTCTCATCCATTTTTTTTTTAAAATAGCTCCGAAACCAAATTTTGTGTCAAGCCTGTGCCCCCCCCCCCCCCGCCCCCCC